GTATTCTATTTCCTTTTGCATGAATGTTCCTGATTTTTAACTGTTGGCCACTGTGGGCCAAATAATTTGCAATTCCTGAAAGAATCGGATACTTCCCAACCTTAAATTTCCCATTTGTTGTAGAAAAGTGCCTCTGTTTCTTCATCTGTAGAATGGGCAAAGAATAACACAGACTTCATAGGTTTGTTATGAGGATTAAATGAAGTCATGTACGTAAGGTACTTAAAACCGTGCCTGGTGTGAAGAAAGTGCTCGATAGATGTTTTCACGTTATCACTGTTGTTAAACATACATCCTCAAACTTCCTGAATCTCCTGGCTTGGAGTCTGGGTATCTGTTATTATTGTTATTGTTTTTAACACCAACTTCCCCAAGGCAACCAACCAGGTTTGGGAGTAAGGAATCCTGAGGTCAAATCTGAGTTCTACAGGTAATGCACTGTGTGACCTTGAACAAGTTTCTTCACCTCTCTTTCTTCCTTTTGCCAAGGACTAGGAGTTCTGCCTCTCTAAGGGGATTAATGTTTAGGGGTTTAGAGGCTTCTAGAACCTCTTAGAAAGGGAAGACATTTGATACAAGGCAGGTAAGGAGGTAAAGAAGTAAGAAGGAAAGACCCACATTGTATTTGGAAGGGACTTAGGATTCAGGCTTGGGGCTAAGCTGCACGCTAGTCAGGATGGACTAGGCTATGCTAAGTAACAAATAGTCCCAGTACCTCAACAGCTTAAAACAAATGTTTATTTCTTACTCTCACTCCATGTGCTAGTTAATAAGCTGCTGTCTCCCAGCTCCAAAGCTACCCTTCTGTACTCTGCTCTGTGATGCTGGGGCTGGGACCCTGCCAGCCACATGCCTGCTTTGTCAGCTGCTCCTGGTAGGCTCTGCCAATAGGGGGCAGGCTGGAGGAAAGAGAAAGGTCTTAATTCTTCCTTCCTTTTGTTTTCTGTTCAGGTCAAGGTCACCCAAGCAACACTTCTGCATCCTGGCAGTAGACACTGGTGCCAGTCTCTGGGCTTTTTACACACACCCCTGGAACCAGCCTCCTTGTGTCCCCACAAGTGCTTAGCACTCCCCACTCAGAGGTCGGAGTCCGAGCTCCAAGGCCCCTCTTCTCCAAGGATCTGGTTTCCGACACTCCAACCTCCATCCTTTGTCCACCGGCCCTGGGGACAGTTGCTGCTTCCTGAGCGTCTCTGAGTTGTCTCGTTTCTCTCCTTCGCTTTTCAGCCCTCCAGCATCCATTCTAGTTCTGTTAAAATGACTGCTGTGGTTTCTGTTTTCCTGTCAGCCACCCTGACCCATACACTCCATGTCCACGATGGAGCTGAGCTCACTCTGAGACCCAAGGGAGGGAGTAGCCTACCTGGAAATTGCCAGGCATTGTGGCACAGGGGAGAGAGCCTGGTGGACCACAGACTAGCTCTTAAAGCTTCTGCCCAGAAATGATACATCTCTTCTGTCCACATTTCATTGGCCACGGTAGTCACGTGACCACATCTGAGTTCAACACGGGAAGAGCAGTGAGTATTTATGACCAATAGTACTATCTACTAGTGAGTCCTTGGAAAGACACAGAAACGAAACTCAGCTCTCCCTCCTGGCAGTCAATCCTAATCAGGTCCCTAATTAGATTTTCCTAAATAATAACCAGAAAGTTATTACACATTTACATGTGCTAGTCTACGTGCTGATTTGCAGATAGTCCACGAGGTAGGTAGTTATTACCCCTGTGTCTCAGAAGAGAAACTGAGGCTCGGAAAGGGGACGTGACTTGCCTCAGGGTACAGAGCTGTGAGAGGTGAAGCTGAGATTTGCACCCGAGTGTGTCAGACTGAAGCCCAAATTCTTCACCTCTATACTCTATGGGGTGTCCCTTCTTGCTCCCATTCCAGAAGCCTGAGGGAGGGGAGACAAGGAAAAGCAGGTATTTAAACAGGCTCAGCCCCTTTAACTGACAAACCCCGCCTCCCACTCAAGGTTGCAGCTTCTCTGAAGGGCAGCCCAGATCTGGGGCTCAGCAGTCCAGAAAACTCTCCGAGGATCTGCCCTCCGGAGCCCACTCCGGTCTGGCCAGTCCAACTCTTCTCACCTTCCAGCAGCCTCAAACTGCCCCTGGCTCAGCCCTCGTCTGGCTCAGAACGGTCCAAGGAAGGGAGGTGGTGCCCAGGATTTGGGAGCCTGGGAGCCTGAGCTGTCCCAGGGCTCTGCCCCGACTCAACATTCAGGGGACCCTGGTCTGTGCTTGGGACAGTAGCCACTTGAGTCTTGTCCCAGCAGGCATGGGGATCCCCCAGTTAGAATATAAGCCCTTAGAGGTCTGAGCTATGTCTTTTGTGTCTTCTGAACAATGTTAGTGATGGCTGGTTGGCTGATGCCCTCAGGCACCCCAGGCACCAGGCACCAGACTAGGTGACTGTTTCAAGGGTACCTGGGGCTTGTTTCAGCCAGATGTGGTGAGACACACAGACCCAGAACTGACTGCCATGAAGGGAGACGTTTCTACTCTCAGATCCCCAGAAACAGGTGGCACCACAGATAGGAGTGTTCAGGGAAGACTCACTTCTCCTGTGTTCGTCCTTTACTCTCACACTGTCACAATATCACCAGACGTGTGGGGGTTTTCCCATACCAAGCAATCCTCTCTGATGCCAGCTGGGTGTCCTACAATGTAACTTAATTCTGATTCTCTCTTCCTGGAATCAGCCCCACATACCATAGGTTAAGCGTTCAGTCCCATGAGACTGCCCCCCCCCCCCGCTTTAGATGCCAATCGCTGAGTCATAGGTCTCCAGGTTACCTACAACTTCTCTCCAACTTGGCTATAAATCAGAGATTCCCATGGCCGCCTCCCCCTTGGATTCGATTATTTTCTAGAACAGCTCACAGAACTCAGAGAAACACTGACTTACATTTACCAGTTTATTATGTAATAAAGGATCTGACTCAGGAACATCCAGATGGAGACGCAGAGAGCAAGGTGTGAGGGGAGGGGCACAGCACTCCGCACCCTCTCTGAGTGGGTCACCCTCCCTCACCTCCATGTATTCAACCAGGAAGCTCTTCAGAGCCCATACTTGGGGGGATTTTTATGGAGGCTTCCTCACAGAGGCATGACTGATCGTTAAGGCCATCTTCAGCCCCACTCCCTCTGGAGAATGGGAGGTGAGGCTGAAAATTCCAAGCTTCTGATCATGGCTTAGGGTTATTCTGGTGACCAGACCCCATCCAAGAGCCTACCATGACTCACCTCTTAGAGCAAAAGACAGTCCTATCATCCAGGAAATTCCAAAGGATTTAGGAACTCTGTGTCAGGAACTGGGATTGAAGATCAAACGTTAGGACAGAAGATGCTCCCAGTGCTCTTATCACTTAGGAAATTCCAAGGGTTTTAGGAACTCTGTGCTAGGAACTGGGGTGGGGGGGACTGGAGACCAATATACACTTCTATTATTTCACTGTGGGGAGGGGCACATATGGGGATGCACCAGGGTCAGCTGGGGGGGGAGGGGGAGAGGTGGGCAGGAGGCTCTACTGTGGTTTCTGCAGGAAGGAACAGGCAAGGCAGGGTAAGCAGTCTGAGGTTTAGAATTAGCTCATTTGATTAATTCCAGCAGGCTCTGGGGGTGTGAGTTCCTTCCCCAGTTGTCTGGTACCTTGCCCTGGGGTGATTAGGGCAGAGGGACATCAGCCTGGAGCTAAGAGCTTGATAAAGGAGGTAGTTGGGGGTGTGGACTTTGGATTGGTTGGTTTGCAGGTAAAAGTTTCACTCCCAGATGAGCTGTCTGCTCTCTCTAGGAATTAGCTGACCTTGGGAGAGGCAGTCCTTCCAATGTCAGCAGGGCTCCAAGATGTCAAACAACGCATCAGAATAAAAAGACATGCTTACCACAGTGCCCTCCAAGTATCATATTGCTGGATATTTGCAACCAATCTATTGTATCAGTTAGAGTGAGTTCAGCAGCCAGTAACAAAAGAACTGATTAATAGAGACTTAAGAAATAAGATGTTCTGTTCAGTCTTGACGTAACAATAAGTCTTGAGGAGGAAACTTCCAGATTCAGTTTGTCAACTCAACAGTATCATCCAAGACCCAGACTTTTTCTGTCTTTTGCCTTTTTTTCTGCTCAGCATGTTGGTGACATCTTTCCATGTAGTCCCAAGAAGCTGACTCAGCTCCCGGCATCAAAGGCCCGCACGACAGCATCCCAGCAAGAGGAAAGGTACTTTGGTTATCTATTTCTGTGTTACCAACCCTGCCAAAACTTAGTGGCTTAAAACAAGGTATTGTTTCTTACGCTGCTGTGGTTGACATGAGTACCGCTGGACGGCTTTTCTGTCCCACATGACGTTGGCTGGGGCCAATCCACTGAACTGCCTTCAGCTGGCGGCTGGGCTGGGCTGGAAGGTCCAAGAAAGCGTCATTCCCACATCTAGGGCCTTGGTGCTCTTCCTTGTGGCCTCTTCACGTGGCCAGCCTGGGCTTCCTCACGGCATGGTGGTCTCTGAGAAGTCAAATGACTTTCACTGTGGCTGACTTCCAGGGCCAAAGTGGAGGCTGCCAGGCCTTCTTCAGTCCTACCCATGGAACTGGTACAGCGTCACTTCTGCAGCATTCTGTGGGTCAAAGCAAGTCACAAGGCCAGCTCCAGTTCACGGGGAGCTGTTACCCCCAGTAAAAGGAAGAAAAGGAGGGGAGGAGAGAGTAGATACTGGGGAGGCAAATGGCAACGTCTGCCACTTGCAGCCTCAGTTTCCCCGTGAAGAGGAGACCATTGTTCCTCAGAGCAGCCCAGAGTGGCCCAGCAGGTGCATACACCTCAGGAGGAGTCGTCGCTTCCCTCTCCGCTCTCTCCCAGCTCAGCTCGCCCTACCTGTTCTTTGCCTGTTGGGACCCTGCCAGGGAGAGGAAGACAGCGCTTGTGGGGACGTTGCGGGGGAGGGAGGCCCCATTCACTTGTTCAAAAAGATGGAAGCATTTGGCACCGCTCCTGGTGCCAAATTGAAATGAATGCTGGCTTCACTCCCAGGCTGGTTCCCATCCCTTCCAGAGGGCACGGACTCTGCAGCACTGAATCTGGGAAGGTCACTTGATTGTCACAGGGGAAGGTGGGGGAGGGGCCGCTACAGTCAGGGCCCCAGAAGACAGCAGAATCCGGTTCAGATGGCTCACGGGACTGTAAAGAAGGGACTGCTCTCAGAGTGTGGGCAGGGTCAGGGGATCAGAGAAGGGAGGCTGTGACACAGAGAGATTAGCACTGAGGGAAGCCATTACCACAGTAAAGGCAAGAAGAGGCTGAGGAAGGAGCTGGTGTGCCTGAAGCCCCTCGAGGGCAGGAGCTGGGGAGAGGCGTCCAGACAGAGCCTGGAGCTGGGGACGTGCGCAGCCACCGCCATAGCCAGGAAGCCGAAGCCAGGAGAGTTTGAAAGAAATGCCCCACCTCCCTCTCCCCCTGCCTTCTGTCTCCTGCCAGTCCCTCTCATTGGCTACACCCGGTCAGAAGCCAGAGGGCAAGGGGTGATGTGGGCCATACTGTCCACTTCTGGAAGACACAGGGGAGGCTGGAGAATGAGTAACACTATGCATATGCCCAAAAGATGTGGTTTTCTTTTATAACTGTTTTTCAGTACTCCAAAATGTTCCATTCATAGATCTGCCACAATTTACTTTAAAAATCCTTCTTTTATTCTTCTTTGTAGAGAACTGTTTTATTGCAGTGCAGTATACATATGTACAGTGTACGTGTCAGCAGTGCACAGCTTGATGAATTTTCACAAGTGAGCTCATCCATGTAACTAGATCAAGAAACGGAGCTTCCTCAGCACCCTGGAAGCCCCCTGATTCCCTGCTCCAATTTCCCTCCCTCCCCTCCACCAGAGAACCTGGATTCTGACTCCCAGTAGCACAGGGTCATTCTCCTGTAGAGGTAATGTTACAGTGGGCATCTCTGTGTCTATGGATTTTTTTTTTTTGCTATTGACTTGTTTTCTTAGGCTGAATCTCCAGATTTAGGTTTCCTGGGTTGAAGCGGGTATACATATTTATAGCCCTTGCTGTGTGAGGCTGCATTCCTTTCTGAAGGATGTACAGATTCCTTGTCACTCCTTATCTCAGACGTCTGCCACTGAGATTCTAATCGGTGACTCTGGCTTCAGGGGAAGGGAGGCCAGGAGAAGGGCACTTCTGGATCCTATCAGGGAGGAATCTGAAACTCTGAATACCAGCAACGCTCGCTCTTTTGTATAGGACAGTCTTTGATTGCAAACGACAGACGCTGGCTGGTTTAGGCAGATACCGAGATCGTTGCAGGCAGTTAGGCAGTCCACGGATTCTTGGGTGGGTTTGTGGCTGTGCAACAGGAACAGGACTCAGATCCCCTGGCTCCCTGGGCCCAGGCTCTTCAGCTCACACCAGGCACTCTGTGCGCTGGCCATTCAGCCAGCATCTCTGTCCTCGAATCCCCCAGCGGACTTCCCCTCTCATCTCATTGGCCACCCTAAGACCTCGGATTGGGCTCAGTTTCTGTGAGGTTCAGTGTTCTCCACTCAATTCTGGAACACAACCCAGGATTTTATTAGTAAGGAAGACGTGAGGGAAGGGCTTTGAGCAGTCCATATACTTGGTGAAAAATGGCTGCCCAGCCCTGACTTAACACAATTTCTTGGCTCTGGCACCCAACACCTATTAGTCTTTTGTTTCCCAGGGAATTTTGGGTCCAAATTCTGTTTCCTGGGAAAGAAGCTCTGATTAGTCTAACCTGGGTGAGGAGTTCTAATTTCATCCAATCAGCCACTGCAGAAGGGAGGGTTGGGTAACACCACGTGCTACCAACACAGAGATCAGGGCTGAAAGAGATGGAACAGGGCTGGAGCAGGTAGCCTCTACCGAGTTACCCAGACAAAAGAAGACAGTACCGAGGGCACCAGTAAAGTAGGGACACCCCAAAGTATTGTTTTTCCAAAATGATTTGTTATTTCATTTAAAAAAGCATCATGGCAAAATCCTGTCAGACTGCCCGGCCCTTATCTTATGGATTAGTACTGTTTTTATTTTCAATGCCAGAGGTGGGATGAAATATTTTACAATCCTTTCAGGCTTTAAAGCTCACAATTTGGCCCTGGCAGCCTGAAGAAATTAAGGCTCAGAGAAGTCAACTGACTTTCCTAAGAGCACATAGCAAATCAGAGGCAGAGCCAGGACTGGAACCTGGATATCCTAACACCTTGTCCAGTGTTCTTTCCATCATATGACTGTGCCCCACCCTTTTTTTTTTTGAGAATTATTTTCAAAGTCCCTGTGGAGGGGCTATTGTGCCACCTGATAATGGCCCACTGGCCCAACAGTGGACATCAAATCTAGACTGGCCAAATTGGATTCTCTTTCCTAGGAAGCTGAGTTTAAGAAGACATCGATTACTTTCTGGGCTTCAAAATGGGAATTCATAAGAAGCAAGCTGAGGGGAAGAGAAATTTGTCTTTAAAAATAAGAGGCCAGGTTGAGAGACCAGGTGATTCCAGAGAGAGGAGCTGCCTTGATTTCTGACAGTTTTCTGGTTCTTGGTTCTTGTTCCTCATGGGGATCTGCCTCCAGCTTACTTGCAACAAGCATGATAGTCATATAATTTAGCATGCTCTTGGTGGCAAGTCATAGAAATTGCAATCCAGATTGGCTTAAACAATAAGAAAATGTATTAATTCCTTTAATAAGAAGTGCAGCCCCATGGAGGATTTCAGGTATGGTATGATCAGAGTTCCATCTATACTGTTCTACAATTCTCTGTAGGCTCTTCCTTCCATAATGTGTTGGCTTTGATGTCACACTGCCTTCCCTTATGGTTACAGGAGGGGTGCCAGCAACAACAAGGTGACATACTTCCTTGTTCCCATCCATGGAGCTAGAAAAAAAGCATCTCCCCTCCAACCCTGGACTTTAAATCCTTCCTTTCTGTCTGATTAGGCCACTGTCAGGTTATGTGCCTATTTCTGGACCAGTTGCAGTCTCCATGAGAATGCTATGCACAGATTGGCTTAAAATTAGGTTCTGGATCCAGTCATTGGCAAGGAGGATGGGAAGACTGTGATGGGCTGAGGGTAACTGAGGTCTGTCTTGGAGATGTGTGTAAAAATCAGTTTCTTCTGGCGAGCTAGGCTGGATGGCAGAGGGATGGTTACCTGAACAAGTTGGGATCTGCTAGGAAGAGCGAAGGGGGAACAGATGCTGGAGAGCAAAAAAAAAAAAAATCATTTTGAGTTTTTTTGGATGGCTTTCTGATCCTTATTGTCAAGAAGACACTGGGACAATCAGCTTCTTGGTCTGTGGCCAAATGCCTTTGCCCAGCCCCTCTGCAGCCCGAGTCTAATTTCCTCCTCCATTCTGTAGACTCTGCTATCGCCAACATTTCTCACCACTGGCTCATCGTTTTGGCAGGCTGGCATCTCACTCTGCTCCAAGCCTCGCTGATGAAGCTGAAGATCTCTTTAGCAGAATTGATTCTGGCATGTTCTAATTTAGAAAGCCTTGCACTTCCCTGCATGGGGGCTGCTGAGATCTGTGCCCATAAAGGCAGAGAGAGTAAATTCTTCTGACGAAAGCCTATTTTTAACAAGTCCTGAACCTAATTGAACTTAATCATTTTTCAGTGGTTGACACTTGAAATGTATGAGTCACTGGGCTATATATGGAGCTGAGGGCTACAACAGCCTTTTAAATATCAGAGAGTTGGTACATATCAACTTCCAGAAGAACTTCTCAGGTGTGGAGCTGTGGTTTCACTCAGGACTGCGGTAAAGCACGGGTCTCTCGAGACAGACAGCCATGGGTTCAAATCCTGGCTCCCCCACTTACTGCAAAAGTCACTGTTTCTCCAAGCCTCAGTTTCCTCATCTGTAAAATAAGGATGGTAACACTTGTCCCAAAACACTTTTTGTGAATCATCAAGGCTTGACATGAGGCTGCTAATGATCTTTATTTATTCTACTTTTCATTAATAATCATGTTTCTTTGCAGAAATGTGTTTGGTTTTGACATGTTGCCCAAATCCCACATGTAAAATATACCATCACACTAACTTCCCTCATGGTTGCCAGCAGGGGCAACATGCTACCTTGTGCACCGTATTAGCTTTCTGAAACCAAAAAATACGGTAAGTTCTAAAACGTATCTTGTCCCAAGAGTTTAGGGATGAGAGAATGGAGATCTTAGTAAGGCTGAGCCACAATTCACTCAAGGGGATGGAGGTAAGGTGAAAATCACGGGCATCAAAATTACCCTGGAAAACCAGTACTCCTAGTCATTTCCCTTCAGCAGTGTGGCTGCTTCTTGAGTTTAGCCCCAGGGGAAATGGTCAGCTTGTGTTTCAGTGCCCTTTGTATATATATAAAAAAAAGTTTATCTTTAAATGATCAAACTTGGTAAGGTCGGTGAAAAATGCTCACGCCAGGAGTGACGGGTGACCTGGGTCAGAGAGGGGTGCCCCATGTCATGCTCACAGAGGGTGGGGGTGGGTGCTCCCAAAGAAAATTGATGGACAAATTCCCCTGCACTGGTGGGTAGCTGTCTCAAGTTATTTCTCTTTTTTGCAGAGCAGGAGGAATTGGGTTCCTTAGTGCGTGTAAAATGTGTGCCCAGCAGTTGCTATAAGTACGCCTGAGTGTGAGAGGGGGAGTAAGAAGACCGCGGGGAGGAGATGCCAGTGAATGAGAGAGGAGACGGGATGGCGACTGAATGGCGGTGTGAGTGGCCGAGTCAGGGAAGGAGAGCGTTGATTGAGTTAAGAAGTTAGCGGCCTGAGGGTTTGTCTAGTCTGGCAGGGGGTCGCGTAGGAGGGGTGTCGCTGAGGGATGTGTCACCCCCCACACCCCTCAGCTGCTCGAGTCCTCACTAAAGAGTCCTGCACCCTCCCAGAACCTTCCAGGGGAGAATGCCCCGTCTGTGCGAGTCACAAAGGCGCCCGTTCCAGGGGTCCGAGAACGCCCAGACGTGGGGCTGGGGATTGGCGCAGCACAGCGGCGCAGC